CACAGTAATGTCCCACAAATGACCATGTAGTGAGTGACCAATTCTATCTGGGGGATTGTTGGCTACATCACTGACAGAAGCTCCCTCCTCTTCATGGAATAGTGCCACAGGACCTTTAGCAAAATTAGGGTCTCTACATGGGTAGATGTGGATTCCAGGAGAGGACAGGATCATGCTTGATTATGATCCTCTCCTCCCTTTTCCCAACACCTCCCACCCCCCTAGAGTGACGATGTCAGCCCAGCTCAGTTGGTACTCTTCCCTTTGAATCAGAAGGTTATGGGTTCAATCCCCACATCAAGACTTGAACTCGCATAGTCTAAGTTGACACTCCAATGCAGTGATGCCACTGTTGGATGTGCTGTCCCTTGGATGAGGCATTAAGCTGAGCTGAGGTCCTATCTGCCTATTCAGGAGAAGCTCTTGGGACATCCTCCCGACATGAAAGGAGCTATTCCAAATGCAAGGATTATTATTATAACTGTGTATTTGAAGGCAAACGCGGAAGTCCATGAAGATCTCACGCGTGCAAATTAACAAACGTGGGCCAGGTAGTGTTAGGCAGCAGGTACCAAAAGCCCAGGCAGGAGAGCAGAGGAGAGTAGAGGTGTGGAGAGGTGAGGTTTGAAGAAGAGAGGAGAGGAGAGGTGAAGTGCAGTGAGAAGAGGAAAGATGAGCAGAGGAGTGGAGAGGTGAGGAGCCCTCGTGGATGGATGAGGGAGAGTTTTTTATTAATAGAAAAAAATGTGCGTGTTGGTTCTGCAGTTCTCAAACAGCGGACCCGAGACCGAATTGAAGAGTTTTCCAGAATCTCTTGTTCAGGTTTGTTTTTATTTGACGTTCCAACTGGCTGTGCTCTGCAGTCCTGCACCTCATCAGTTTCAGCCGCTAGAAAGCACAGCAGCCCTGCTGCTGGAGTGACACGAGGCTAGACTCCAGCATGTCTCTCATGAGCCTCAGTGCCACAAGCAGCCTGCAGACTCACTATACCGTGCCTTGACTCCAGCATTTTGCTACAAGATAATCAGGGCTTAGGAAGGAAAAACGTGTACCGCAAACAAAAAGACAAACTGAGCACTGAAGTGTGTACAGAAGAGTTGCCCTCTGCATGCGTGTAATTATCAGTGGGACTTTACATGCGTTGGGACAAACGTTTAGCATTACTTGTCAGTACGATTCAAAGTCCCATCAGTGAATATTGTGGCAAAGTGCCGTTTTTTAGAATGTCTCCAACCCCCACCCCAACGCACAAAGACTACTCCCTCCCATTTTATCTTCCGCAGATCATTATATTTCTCTCCCTCTCCCCTCGCTTACATTTCAATCAGGCCCACCGAGCCCACCCCCTTCCTTCCCCCACCCTGAAGCTGGGCAGACAAATGTTTGCGTGAGTGTTAATTATTTGCAGAAGCCCGCTTCACACAGAGAATTCCTTTGTGACAGTCTGTCGGCCGTGCCACAAAGACAGAGTCGGAGATCAAGTGGAGAGGGCTTGGCGGCTTCGGCTGCATATTCCCTCGGCAGCTTCAAGTGTGGGCTTGCTCTCAGCAGGTGTGCTTCCAGCACTGTAGCTTTAAGGACATTTGCGCTTCCAGTCCTGTCGAGGCTCAGCTTCTGCTTAAGAAAGATCGGAGCACGGAGTTAGTACAGTGCAAAGACACACCATAAATCAAATCACAAAGCAAATCGCACCTCACAAAGAGACTTATCAAAACAGATGATACAGCTGTCAAGCTCCTTTATTCAGACGCATTCTTGCACTGAAAATCCCCTTTGCTTGACCCGAGCGCACTGGTAATTTGTACCTGGCCATGGGTCGTTCGATGGGCTAGTACTTTTTAATAAAACAGTAAAACTTGCATGAGTCTGATCTGTATAAATCGTATAATCGCCTAAATCGTACATCTGCCCATGTCCTGTTCAAGAGTTTCATGTTCATCGCTAGTTTGACATCACTCGTACTTTCCATCAATCATATTAATCGTATGATCCCGACTGATATGACCTATGTAAGGTTTACTGTAATAATAATCCTTGCATTTGGTATAGCACCTCATCACGTCAGAAGAACGTCTCAAAGGGCTTCACAGGATTTTCTGTGAAATGGAGTGACTGCATTTGTCGGCCAACTTGGGAGCACAATTCTATGTTTCGGTTCTCAGCCGAACACGTGGGGCAAATAGACTCTGGTGCTCCCGGCTTCGAATCATGTTGTGAGTCGAGGATCCTCCCCCCACCCCTCTTCCAACTCTCCCCCCCCCCCCACCCCCTCCTCTTTCTGGATAGTGTGTGAATGTCAACTGAGAACACAAAAGGACTCAGTGTTAATCCCTCCCCCCTCCCCATAGATAAATAACGAGCTAACGCAAGCTGCATACGCTCTCATGGATTACTCTGCCAGGATGTGGCCAGTGCCCATGGGTCAATGCCTTCCACAGAGAGCGAGAGAGAGAGAGAGAGGAAAAGAACTGGAAAAGAACCATAACCGCATTCTGGAAGATTCTGTCTCGCTTTCGCCACTGTTTGTGAACTTTGTGCTCACGATTTATTGCATGAACTGAACTCTCTCCTCCATGCCCCTCCCTCTCCCCCTCCGCCCTCCCCCACATAAGATCATTGTCTTAAAGATTGTTCTTGGAGAGATGGACTGGTCTTGATTAAACTCTGCTCAGGCCAGTGTTGGGAACCACGTTATGTGGCTCTGCACATCTGCCCACGTCTGGTTTCTATTATTCCCTGTTAGACTCACTACAAAAAGCCCCTGTTTTGAAACAGATGCGGTGCAGCAAAGCTTCTGACTGCTCAAGTGGTTAAACCAATGTTAAAAAACAACTCGCAAAGTGATTGAATGGGTCTCAACAGCACAGTCAATGCACGTGACAGTAGATAATACTGACATGTCAGTGCCTACTTGAGCAGTGGGTAAAAGGTGCTTCATTAAATGTCATACTCGTGGCTGTTTAATCAGACAACATATCGAAATTTCTATCACAGCCAATTTCTATTTAAATTCAAATTCAGGGTGAGCGAGACCTGAAAGAATCCACACAATCTGCCGGTTCTTCTTCTATCTCTCTGTGTGTGTCAGCCTGGTTCAGTCGGTAGTCGTCTCGCCTCTGAGTCCGAAGGTTGTGGGTTCAAGTCCCAATGTCAGATCTTTGAACTCATCTGTCCAGGCTAACATTCCAACACAGTGCTGGGGGTATGCTGCATTGTTGGAGGTGCTGTCCTTTGGATGAGACGTTAAACCGAGGCCTTGTCTGTGCTTGTTGAGATAAATGTAAAAGATCCCATGGTATGATTTGAAAACAGAAGGAAGATTCTCCCAGTATCCTGAGCAACAATCGGATCTCGTGCCTCAAATTGCAGTGGTTCAGAGTTGAGAATCTGGCCCAGCTTCTACGTGTGTCTGTATGGCAGCTTGTCGATAATTGAGAAAGTACCCCCGGTCCACAGCTCCTCTGTGTAGTACAGTTCCCACTTGTATCAAAGTATAGAGTGGGACTCATGAGGAGACACTCTGAAAAGGCACTTACAATCACAAAATCAATTGCACAATTCACCTATTACCCAACTCAATGAAACTATATTCCTGTTATAGTACAATTATTGCTAAATTACCAATGATAATTTACTCCACGTGTAACAGACCAAGCGAATGGGTAATATTTGCATTTGACAAAGCGCTTTCACATCAGGAGGTCGTCTTAAATCGATTCACAGGTTTTTACTGTAAAGTGTAGTGACTGTGTATTTTGCAGGCGAACAAATCCAGGTGAACAGTCCCCCAGATAAAACTGGTCACTCGCTTTGCGGCTGTTTGTGGGACTTTGCTGCCGTGTTCGCCTTCAAAATGCACAGTCACTACACTTTACAAATATATCCCGTGGAACATCCTCCTGGCGTTCAAGGCGCTGTATCAGATCTTTAAAAATTTGGTCACTCAAACCACAACTATTGTGGGACACTGCTGTGTGCAATTGGCTGCTGCATTTCGCCCACAAAATATGCAGTGAATCCACTTCACAATACATTCTGTAAAGCTCTTTGAGGTGTCACTTTGAGACTTGATAACGGGCTATAACAAATGCAAGGATAATTATTAAATTATTCTTAAAGAATATTTATTGATATTCACCACAAGCTCTTCTCTTTGTGGGTTCATAGTCTGATTCCCTCAGTTGTGCTCCTTAGAAAGCCTTCAATCCAGCCTCAGGAAGCTCATTTATGGATTGTTCTTTTGGAAAATATAGTTGGGTTTGGCAAGCTTACGGGGCAGGAGGCTGGCGTTCCTTTATTGTATTACAGAACCTTCGAATTAGTGTCCAGAATGGAGCAATTTCATGTTGAGTTGAACTTAAACTCACAGTTTTCTCTATCTCATCAAAGTGTCAATCAGCAGCATTCAGTCCTGATATACTGCATGTTGTTTCAGTGTCAGTTGTGGCGCGCGAGAAGGTTTGTGTGTGAGAGAAACTTACTCAGCGTGATTCTCCACCCAAACGGGCAGCGACCTCCAGATTTATCATATTGTGAAAGGCAAGAAAAGGCTGCACACTTTATGCATGCACGCAAGCACATTTCTGCCACTAACACAGTGTCAATCAGAAAGCAATGGGACTGGGGGCATCATAAATTTCTGGGCTGATCCTTAGGAACAGACACGAGCTGTCATGTCTGAACTAGCATTTCACTGCTGGGGTAATAGATGCCTTCATCTGGCCCAGCAGTCAGCAGATTGCCCCATGTTGATGGATACTGTCAGCTGAATGCTACACTAGATTTCACTGCACAATAAACATGGCTCTCCAAGCCATGCAAAGCGAAATCAATTTATCCTGTACGCTGCCCGCATGCTAAATGGAATTAATGTACTGTGTTGCTCTTCTTTTCTCCCACCTCCCCTCCCCTTCCCTTCCCTGCTCCGTACGGTGTTTCAGGGAGTAAGGCAATGAATGGGTCTGCAGCTAAACTACAGCAGTATTATTGTTGGCCAACAGGAAGCACTGCGGTGACAGAGGCACGCGTTTACAGGGAAACCAGGGGGCGCAACAACAATGAGCCACATATCAAAAGACCAATGAATGCTTTCATGGTGTGGGCGAAGGACGAACGCAGGAAGATACTGCAAGCATTCCCAGACATGCATAACTCCAACATCAGCAAAATCTTGGGTGAGTAACCACACGTGTATTTATGCGCCATAATACCTAACGCTGACCAGCAGAGCACACGGGTGAAACAGAGAGCGAAACAAAGGAGGCCGAGTTGTACGTGCGATCCGTGGGCATTCAACTCAACCTATTGGTCAGCAGTCACTTGCAATGACAGCGGTGGAGCAATAGGAGGCGCAAGACATGAGTGGCTGTTATCTTGACCATGACCTAATAATAGAGTAATACATCAATAAAGGGAGCCTTGGAGAGATCTTTAGGAAACAACTTGCAGGAGAGAATGTACAAATTATATTTGCGAGAAACATTCAAATCCTCATTGCTTGGGGTGAATGGGGGATAGTGGAATATTCCAGCTTATCCCACTGGTAGGGGAGTCAGTGATTAGGGGGCATAGTTATAAGATCGTCACAAAGAGAGCGAAAGGAGGGCTGAAGAGAATTTGTTTTTCACACAGAGAGTTGTTGGGAAGTGGAATGCTCCGTCATGGAAGGTTGGTAGAGGCAGAGTCATTTGGGGTTTCAAGAGGAAAGTAGACAGGTTATATAAAGGATAGAGATTTGAAGGGTATTGGTATAAGGCAGGGCAGTGGGATTGAATGGACAGCTTGCTCGGAGAGCCGGCATAGATGCGATGGGCCGAATGGCCTCCTTCAGCGCTGTGAGTTTCTTATGATTTCACAGATAAAAGTGAGGTTTGCTTAGGGCTCCTGTGGCAGTGCACTCGGCTTGTCAACTAACCCACTGAGCTAATGGCTCAGTTGGATTGTGGCACCCTCTATAAACAAGCCTATCTCTATCCAAGGCCACACTGTGACTGAGGCAGAGTTCTCATCTGTATTGAATCTCACCTCCAGTATAAATGCCTGGGATCGATCAGCCCTGGCAAAAAATAAACACTCGTCTGGGGTAGGTTTCATGCCAGGATAAGTTCGGAGACTGGACAGTGTAAGGTCTCAACCCTCACTGTTCGTTGCTCAATGAACACTCCTAATGTATGCAAGACTCACAGTGTCCCTCCCTACTCCCCCGCACCCCCCCCAAATCCCTCAATCCCTCAAGGAAGGGGATCGGTGAGAGGCCGACAGCGCTAATTACATCCCGGTTCAATTTCTGAGCCAGGATTAAGGCAACGGAAATCAGGATGAACGAAGAATTATGCTTCCGAGCTGTGGCATGTTAGGATTACAGAGCGTTTGTTATTGTAGTTTAAAGTGGGATTCTTAAATGTCGTCTGTTCAGGCCCTTTTCTGTCTGTTCAGACCCTTTTCTATTCAATAATAATAATCAAGCAACATAGATGTAAATTAATCTAATACTGATCGATCAGATCACAAACTACTGCCTCCACATCCCTTCCCTTCCCTAAGTCGGTAGCTGTGAGGGAGAGAGGATTCCCAAATAGTAAAAGCAGAGGTCTAGGGAGAGTTACATAGAATGATACAGCATGGAAAAACTGTTTAGCTCAATCAGTCTGCACCAGTGCTTACACTCCACACGAGCTTCCACTCCGCCTATTCCCCTCTCCTGTATCCCTCTATCGCCTTCTCCCTCATGTCTGCATCACCTTTGCTCATAAATACATTGATGCTTTTTGCAGAACCAAAGCTTCCTTCCGGCAGTAAGTTCTACATTCTCACTACCCTCTGCGTGAAGAAGATCCTCCTAAACTCCCTTGTTAGATCAAGCATTGAGGCTACCTAATATTTATGCCCTCTAGGTTTGGACTCACTAATAAGCAGAAACAGCTCATCCACATCGGCCTTTATGATGAGGCAATTTCTGCCTTGATTTTTACATGCAAATACCGAGTTCCATAATATTTTTAATTATGAATCATTTTTTTAATTTGAGGAAGCTTTATCCGCATTTATTTATCAATACGGAATTATCTTTATTCGCTGGGTCTGAGTATTTAGACTTGTTGATTGCATTCCACTCATGTACAAATTGAACCATAAATCTATTAATTCCTGCGCTCAGATCCGCCCGTTGCTTTTTATATATTTCCCGGGATTTATGCGCATTTGAACTAGTCATTGATAATATATTAATCCGTTTAATTCGATGAGTTATTTGTTTATGGCATTATCGAATGTTGCGTCTCGACATTTTATTTTCCAATTTTAATAATGTAATTCTGGCACAAGATCGTAATCAGCACCCGGGGGACAGGACGGAATTGAATCAGCACGAGGGGCTGTTTAACTCTAAACGTGCCACTCTGATACCCATAACATTTACATATGGAGTCAGATAGAGTCACACTGCATGGAAACAAGCCATTCGTGGAGTCCTGCAGCTGAGTAGTTAGAGCACTCACCTCACAAGTGAGAGGACCTGAGTTCAATTCCCAAGCAGGGCGAAACGTTGGGCAAGTTTCCTTACTCCACACACCTCTGTTTACCTAGCAGTAAGTAGCAACCCTGTTGTTAGTCGATTGGCGCATTGCTTTTCCAGGGTAATAATCCCTTAAAATTTATATATTTTAAAAATAATAAGAATAATTTGGTCACTCAATCCACTACTGTTTATAAGACACTGCTGTGCATAATTGGCTGTCACATTTTGCGCACAAAATATACAGTCAGTTCACTTTACAGTATATTCTGTGAAGCGCTTTCAGACGTCTCGATGACATGATACAGCGCTATATCCAATGCAATGATTATTATTTTTATTATTTCACCCTTCTAGTCTGTGCCGGTGTTTCTACTCCACCCAAGCTTCCGCCCCTCCTAGTTCCCTCTCCTAAACCCCTCTATTCTCTCTTCCTTATATCTGCATCATGTTTTCCCTTTAAAATTATGGACTCCATATTATTTGCTGTTATTTGCATACAAATAGTCAATTCCTCTGAAGCGCTGTTAGACGACGTAATAAGGTGCTGTTTCAAATGCAAGGACAATATTTTTAAACAAAATCGGTTTCAGCAGCAAAGTCTTCTCTTAAAGATTTTGATGCTATTTGCTTCGACCACTGCTTCTGGCAGGGAATTCCACATTCTCACCACCCTCTTTGTGAAGAAGTTCTTCTAAACTCCTTATTAGATCTGCTACTGGCTTTCGTACGTTTACGTCTCCTCATTTTTCTGTATATTTCCAACGAAAGAGAGCTGCATTAACAATGTGTCAATGGGATAGGCCTGTGAATACATATGGATTGTAACCCAGCTCTGCTCTTTCTAACACTCTAAACGTCTGATATAAAAACACACTCCATGGATCGCTCAACACAGAAGTATCAGATTTTTCTTCCAAGCTCCTGCTTTGTGCTTTTTTAAAAAAAAGTCTCAGCCAAATATGGCCTGTACCTTTGCAAGCGAGCTGAAAATGGAAAAAAACGATGAATTCTTTTGGAATATTTTCACAAATTATCAGGGTGTTTAAAAGGTCCATTTAATCTGTCAAGTGCTGTTTATTTTGTCCTGGTGGGCAGCAATTTGTAATTATAGCCCCTCGCTGCCAGGTTAGCATGCTACTGGATACAGTGACTGACAATTACCAATGTTTACCAGTGGGTTCAATTTCAATATCTTGTTTATTTCTACTCTCAGCACTGGTACAAATCAAGTCATCCATCTAATGCTGCATGAAGCCTGGATTTGTGAGTGAATAATGACTGACATCGAGCAGAACTCCCGGGGAATGGGACACATTAATGCTGTTCCTCTGCAACTGATATATACTCACCTTGTTGTGTATTGATTCACCCTGCAACCGTAGAGTGCTGAATTTAGGGTTTACTCCCATGCTAACTATGGGTCCCTCAGTTCCTTCATTGTCCCTTAGGATTAATATAATTGATCATCGATCTGATAGAGAGTGTCAGGAAACAATGTAGGACTAGGAGTTTCTCTTGTTTCTAAGGGTAACGACTTTGACAGCCCAATTATAATGGGAAAATTAAACTGTAAGCGTTTATCATTGAAATCCACCCCACTTAGTAGCAAAAGGAGTTTCTCCACCTCAGGTCCATTTTTATGAGCATTTCTGTGCATTATTGCAGCTCTTTGTCATTGAACCTGACCATCAGTTGTGTGACATTGGTCCAGTTTGACTCACCTGCCAGTTCTTCCTGCTTCTGAATGGGATGGCTGAGGGCAGGAGCTCACCAGGCACGTAGTCACTCCAGCAAAGCCACATCCTACCACACGGAGGCCTGGATTATTGTTCCGTGAGTTCATTTTTCTGAGAGGAGGAACTTGACGTCAGCGTCCACGCTGGCCAGAAAAGTTATTTATTTTATGGTTCCTTCAAGGCTCGGAGTTTGGCATCGCGCATCAACACAATCCCGTTCCAGGCTTCGCATTCCAGTGGACTAACCCACTTCCCGTTCGCTTCCATTGTGTGGAACCCCTGATCCATTTGAACCCAAATTCAGACTAAGCACAAGATATATTTTTCCCCCTTTCGCTTCCCAGCACATTGTGGGAGCCTCTGTTTGTGTAAAATGTCCCAGTTCCGGTCAGTGTGTTTCTGTTTTTGTTTGGACTGAGTTGCTGAAAGAATGATGAAACAGGCTGGGAGAAGGCGATTTGCCATCCAGCTATTTTTATCCAGAGTTTATAGAAGGGCTGATCCAAGGATAACATCTCTTGGCAAAATGTGCTCTGTGTGTTTCTCACAGGACTCAACTGGATCACGAGATTTTGTATCCCAACAACGTAATAAGTCTCTTGTTCTGTTCAGTACAAAAAAGGACTCACAGCTGAAATTCATTGCACTTCATACAGCAAGTCTAGATCTTCCCACAGTTCCCCATTCAGCTAATGACACAGGAGTCTCTCCATACCTCAGGGTGGTACACGCCTCGGTTTGTACTGGGTTCTCTTTGCAACTTCCCCTACCTAAGGACAGCTTTAACTCCAACCTCAAGAGATAGCTCTCAACTCCTGTGCTACAACAACAACAACTTGCGCTTATATAACTCCCTCCACGCCGTCTCAGAGTCTGTTAACAATGGTGGAGCCCAAGGCCATTCCAGGGAGAGGGGGAAAGTGACCGTAGGCGCGGTCGAAAAGGAAGGTCTTCAGGCATGTTCTGAAGATGGGAAAGGAGGGGGCGATAAGGCCTTACCGTGTCGGTGATTACAGGAATTTTAGTTAGTTTGTTAGTTCATTAGTTCGTTTGTTGGCATTGTTGAGCACTGGAGGTTCCATGCATTCGGAGAATGTCCTAAGGAGCTTGACAGTCCTGGCTTGGCACCCGACTTGGGGGTGACAGCCAAGAGAAGTGGGGGGAAGGAAAGATGAATAGTGTCGCAGGTCAAAGAGGAAGATCTTGAGACAGAGGCGAGAGGAGAGTTTCTCCAGGTGTCCTGTCCAACAATTCCTCCAGATAATATTGTCTATTCACTTCACGGCTGTTTATGGGACATTCTTGTGCACAAATTGGCTGCTGTGTTCGTCTACAAACAGTTACTACACTTCACAGTAATTCCCGTGAGATGTCTCGATGCCGTGACAATACCCTATTAGTGGCGTGCAGCCTTGAGTGTTCCTGTTGTTATCATTGAGAGGGTTTCTCAGCATACCAAGGCTGTCAGCACTGAGAGAGACACCTCATCGCTCCATCACTTCATCAATACTTTTATAGTGCAGATTCCTCTGGTGGACACTTGAAAGAATGTAGCCTTAATTGAACAAGACATCAATTCTCATTTGACTCAGAACAGAGGAGGTTCAGTGTTGGGTAGGCGGAACCTTTGATGTTGTGAGCTTTCAGGTAACATCCAAAGCTTAAAAACGTGCTCAGTTGAAGATAGATTGAGCAGTGGCCTCTGATATTGCTGATACATCATGACAGAAGCAACCCATTTACTCTGGCAGGGCTGGTGGGGGGTGGGGGGGGGGGGGTGAGGAGAAAGTGAGAGGGTTACAATGGATGCAACGTGAACTAAGATGTCAAGAGTAGGTCCGGTTAAGGTAAAACAGTGAACCGCTTGATTTGCAAACCCACATCCACACCCCATGGAAGGCGAGTGAGCGAGCGAGAGAGTGAGCGTGTTAGCGAGAACTATGACTTTTCGTGGCAAAGGCAGGAAGAGAGTAGGTTACTTGCTTCTAACCTATCTGGAGGCAAAACTTAACATTGTGAGGTGCTCCTGTTGAGTCTGTGATCTGCCACTGTAACTCAACCCAGATCACACAGCACTCACAGAAACAGAAATTTACCACAGTGAAAGAGGCCATTCAGCCCATCGTACCTGTGCCACTGTTATCTTGTCGCCCTTTTATTATTAATCCCACTTTCCAGCTCTTTCCCTCTTTTGCTCTTAATGTTTTTTGTACGTCTCAGGTGCTTCTCCCTTTTAAACGGCTATTAATTCAGCCTCAGTACCCACTCGTGGTGATGAATTCCGCATCCTAACAACCCACTGAGTGCACAAATTCCTCCAAACCGCTTACCTGAATCTAACACTCTTAAGATGGTGCTCCGTTGTCACCCGTTCCCATCTCAGGGAAATATTTTTTCCCATTTATATCTCACCTCATTTACCTCTTTGACCACACTTTTGGTCATAAAAGTGTCTTCTCAGATCGGGAAGACATTTCAAAGTGCTTTGGAGAATTTACTGTGAAATAGAGTGACCGTGTATTTGTAGGCGAAAGTGGAAAGTGGTAGCCTATGGATAGAAAGCATCATCGCAGTCTGAGCTGCCGTCCTGAACCCAGTTCGGAAGCCGTTCTCTACTTGTTAGGTCTGTCACATAAAGACTTGGAGAGAGATGGTTTGCTGTGTGTACGTATGTATGTGTATGTGTGTGTGTGCATACGCGTGATTATACCAAGGCCCCCAAAGCAAGGCTAAAGCACAGTAATCATAAATAATGGGAACAGATCTGTGCCCCCTTTATAATGAAGCTGATTCCATCTTTTGATATTCATGAAAGCAAAGAAAGAAATCCTACCGCAACAATTGCTCCGCAAAATCTGGTTCTTGTTAAATTGTTTGCCGATGTCCCATTTCCTCCACAGTCAAACAATCTGTTAGAAATTAACATCCTTGGGATTTTATTTTTGTCGGAACTCCTACTGTTTTCAAGCGAGCGGGTGGGCGGCTCTACCTGTGGCATTTTTTGACCAGATAAGGGATCCTTCTGCTGTTCCGCTCGAGCCACAGATGCTATTGGAGTTGTACGTTACCCTTTCCCTTCCTCCCCCCACTCTCTGCTTGAGGGCTGTGACCAAACTTAGCACAGTGTGTGTGGAGTAACTGGCACCAGAAAGACTTGGCTTTGGCAGAAGTCAGACCTGGTGCTGTCAGCGAGCAGGAACTGCACTTAATTACAATCAGCATGTGTTTAATCACTATAACTGGTTTATTACACTAATATCCTGAATAATATACAACAACATGATTTGTTACATTAAACCCACCCGCCCGCCCCCTCCTCTCAACAACAAGGCTGCCTCTCCTTTGAGCTGTTTAGATCGAACGAGATAAGTGCTCCCACCAAGTGCAATTTTGCTTTGTGCAACATTTACATTGCAGAGCGGCAGCGTTAATAAAACCATGCGTTTCAACAATGATTAGGCTTTCGCTTGGCAAGGAATAAGCACCGTGTCGAACATGTAACCCCCTCAGCTTATTGCAAAACTAGTGGAAGAAGGAAGTGTGGAATCCGAGATTTAAACATTCCTGTTCACCCCCCGCCCCCCTCCCAGGCTACTGTGCTGTACGAGAAGTTGTCCCCAGGAGAATTGTCAGTATGTAGCAGGGTTAAGCCTTTACATCCTTAAATTAATGCTTTCAACATTTTTCACTTGGCAAGTCTCCTCCGAAAAGGGAAGACTTTAATGATAAAAACGAAACATACTGGAGCTGCTCAGCTATGTCTTGTGAATCAGTTTCGGAACTAACTCACCTTCATCCGCTTTTTTTCTGTTTTTGCTTTGCTTTTGGCGTTCTTGTGGAAAAACCTGTTGCGATAAGAATGCTTATTTTTTTTCACATATAACAGTGGTGGTGGTGTGTGGGGGGAAATAGAAGCTGTGGAGATTGCGCAAGTCGTTGTTGCATGATGAGGGTGCGGGGTGAAGCCACAGTGATTGAGATCGCCATTCGACTGCCCTAGCATGGGCCTTGCATACTTAATGTTTCAGAGCTGCAAAGGGCAATTTCAGGACACACGCCACCAAGTGTTTCTTTACCCAGTGTGGGTAATTAACGACTGTAACAGGTTGGCAGAAAGGGTGGTTGAGGCCAGGGACGCTGTTGCTCGTTTAAAAAAAAACATTAAAAAAAACAGCTTGATGCCGTGACAGGGATGAGTTTTGAGTGAGCGTTTCTGTGAAGGATGAGATCACATGGGCCTAAGTTGCCTTCTTGCTTCCAACCCGATCTTGGGGGGATCTTGTGACCGAGTGCTGTGTTTGCTCGGTGCAGGATCTCGTTGGAAATCCATGTCCAATCAGGAGAAGCAGCCATATTACGAGGAGCAGGCCAGGCTCAGCAAGATGCACCTGGAGAAATACCCCAACTACAAGTACAAGCCCAGACCGAAGCGCACCTGCATTGTGGACGGCAAGAAGCTGCGCATTGGCGAGTACAAGCAGCTGATGCGGAATCGGAGGCAGGAGATGAGGCAGTTCTTCACTGTGGGGTGAGTGCCGCCATTTCCTAACTGGAGCAACCGCTTCATACCCTCTTGCTTCCACAGCACGGCAGGAAATCAAAGCATCGAAGGTTGCGGGCAGCACAGCTTTATTGTGAGCCTTAAACACCCAGAGTTCCACGCGTGGCCGGGCTATTCTGCGAAGCCGTTTTGTCTTACGATTTAAGATCGCGCGTTCTTGTGGAAATTACAAAATACACAACAGTTCACTGCATGTCGCAGGAAGATCAGGCAAAGTGCTTTGTGGTGTCTTAGCACCGCAATAAGGCATGACATCAAATGCATACAGTACATACAAAGTCATGTGTTGTGGGGAATGGGAAAAAGCTGGGAAATGGGATTAAAAGAAACCGACCTTCCGTAGTTTTATGAACTGGTGAAACAGGCTTGATGGGTTGAATTGTTCGGAGGAATAGGGTACAGGAATGGATAAGTAGTTTTAAATTGATATAAAACCTTGGTTGGACCACATTTGGAATACTTTGTGCTTGGCTCTAGTCACTGTAATACAAGGAGGAGATTGAAGCATCAGAGAAAGTGCAGCGTAGATTTAGCAAGACGTTACCAGGAATGAGTAGATAGCAGTTTTCAAGACTGGACAGGTTAGAGGTTTTTCCTCTGGAGATGAGGTGTTTGAGAGGGGACCGGCTAGAGGTGTTTTAAGGTATAAAAGGGTTTGATAAGGTGACAGTTAATCAATGAGTCCCTAATAAGGGGGCATTAGTCAACAGCAGATCCTCAAGAGAGTTTACGAGCAACCTCTTCACATAGAGGGTGGTGAGAATGTGGAACTCGCTGCCAAGAATTTTAGTTGAAGCAGAAAGCATCAATGCATTTAAGAGAAAACTTGATGCATGCATGAGTAAGAAAGAATAGAGAGAGGAGAATAGGAGGGGTTAAGCCAAATGGGCTGTTTTGGTGCTCTACGGTATTACATAATGAGCATTAACACTCACCTTGACGTGCACAAATATACCAAAAATCAAGAGCTGGTGCTTTCTATGTATAACATAGATATCAACTGCTTGTGGCTATAACTTGCTAACAGATCAGTGTTCATCTGTGCACAGGCAACAGCCTCAGCTTCCAATCACCACGACAGCGGGTGTAGTGTATCCCGGTGCTATCAGCATGGCCACCACTGCAGCATCACCCCAGCTGACCTCCGAGTGTTCCAGCGAGTCGGGAAGCCCGGAGCCGAGTATTCCGGTCATCCAGAGCACTTACAGCATGAAGGCGGAGAGCAGCAGTCTGGCAGTCAGCGAGATGATGAATGGGGAGGACGAAGTGGATATGTACGAGGACTTTGAGGACGATCAGAAATCAGACTATAGCAGTGACAATGAGAACCAGGAGACCATCAGTGCAAACTGAGGAGCCCTCCCCCCCACCTCCCCCACCTCCCCATCCCCCTCTCCCGCGGCAAACATAGGACTGTTATTTTGAACACACATGTACACACGCAACGCACACACACACACACACGCACACAGACACAGATACACAAATGCTATTGAGGAGCTTGCATGCGTGGCTCAGACAGAATCATCAGCCATGTTCTTCGATGTTTCTTAATGTGTGAAGCATTCTCATTTTGTTTTTTATTTTATTTTTACAAAGTTTTAATTGTAGATGTTTTACATTTACCGAGCTCTAGGAAACGACGGGGGAAGAGGGGGAGGGGGAGGGGGGGATAATAATAATAATAATAATTCATAAGTCAGAACTTGAAAACTGTCTCTTAATATTAATTCATACCTATCTATCTCGCAGTCTTACAGATTTACCCCCCCCTTTCTCTCTCGCTCTCTCTCTCTCTTGTTATTTTTGTTGTCGAGGTTGTTTTTTTTAAAAAAAAGTTTTACTTAATTGTTTAATTTTTAATGGAGGAGAGAGAGAAGAGAGTGGGGGGAAGAGGAGGGGAATAATACTCTCACTCAGGTATGCTGTGCAAGTCAGCGTCTTGTGAATGCGTTTTTAATCCGAACTATTTAAAGTAACTTAAATTTTGTTGTCGCTGACAGAGAGGGAAAAAAAAGGGTGGGGGAGGGGGGGAGGGAGAAACGTACTTAAAGGGGGAGCACTTGTGTGCGAAATGCACATTATAAAAACAGACCGACACTGAGCTGAGGTCTGTCTACCTTCCCTTCCTCAACCTTTTACTTTGTCGTTTGTTGTTGTTGTTTTATTTTCTTTGGAGCTGCAGAATTGTACAGTTTTGAACTTTAAGAAAAGTGCCAAACTTCTTAATAATGTTTTAATCTTAATGCGCTTAGGTTTTCAAAAAAAAATAAGAATTAAGAGTCTTACGTGAATTCGCTGCAGAAGAGTCTTAGACAATCGCCTGTCATCTTAATGAGGAAAACATAATGACGTTCTCTTAACTACGGTGCAAAAAGTGCTTCTTTCCAGACTACAGTGAAGTTACTCAGGAATACGGACAAAGGATTTTTGTTGTGGGGACGCAGGCATGGGTTGGGTTGCTTGCTATGGTGCATGTGTCCAAGTCACTTTTTTTTTAAAAACGCCTCTTAATGTGCCAAGAGTGTGTCCAGAGGTTCCTCATCACCGCAGAGCTTCAGCTATGTCACTAGGAGCCAACTCCCAGCAGGAAGAGGTGATGGGAGGGGGGGGGGGCTTGGGGTTTCAGTCCTGACACTGTCGATCTCCAAAACGCTTGGCATTTTGGGGGGAAACCTGAGGTGATTAAATACAAACGCAGGAAGGGGAAGGGAGAGAGAGCGGTGGGGAGGGAGGAAGAATAAAGAATTGACATTTTTATTTGTTCAACAAAATAGCCAGCCTTTCATAAACCGGGGAGTCATATCCCAAAACGACTCGGCTTGAGAAGCCAACAGTCAGCGACCGGTACAATTAGCAGCCGCCTCCACTTGTCTGCTAAGCACCATTTCCAGCCCTTTAACTTCATAAGTCCATTAACTTCTTTTGAGTGTATTTTATTCATTCCAGGAGTTCCATGGGGCCAATAATATAGGATTATGGAAATAATAAACACCTGGAAACGTGTATAATACCCAGTTCTAAATTACAAGATAAAAACTTACAAATGCTCTGCCTGGGTGGAAACTGCTTTGTCGAGCGGGTAGTAGTAACCCAGTCCCTGGTTAGTGGGATGCTGCGGTTTAACACTTATCCTTAATGTTCAACACGACTGGCACTTTGCCAGAAATAGTCCCGGAAAGGAGGCCTTTTTCTGGGTTTTCAAAGGAACGTTAAATTGAAGCATGGGGAGCTCTGTGTTGTATTAAGAGTGTTCGCCTCAAAACACACAGTCACTCCACTTTACAGCATATCCCATGAAGCACTTAGAGACGACCTTCTGATGTGAAAGCCGCTATATTAAATACATGGATTATTATTGATATAAATATATATATATACATACACAATCCTATCATCTCATGTTTCGTTGAGCTTAGGTTTTGGGGGGTGAGGAGAGGTGGGGAATTGAATTTCAGGGACTTAACCTTTCATTCGTTTACTCGAGAGTCTTAATGGGCAGCGAGCTGACATATTGTTGGGAGTTGAAGGCAGGTGATGTTATGAGGAACAAACTGCTTCACACCTGCAAAGCATGTTAAAGGAACGTGGGCCAAAAAGCTCCCGTCCTTCACCAACAATTTCTTAAATTTCTATCTGTGGCGCTGACCCAGGGTTTCCACACAAAACTTAAAAAGAGTCTTAAAAAAAATACGTGCTGCAAGCCCATGCAGTCGCTATTCCTTTTTGGTGCTGGATGATGGATGCTTGAGTTTGAGAGAGGGATAGGGAAAAGGGAGGGAAGTGCAGGGAACTAAAGGACAAGTTGAGATCAGATTGGAAGGACAGGAATATTGACCATTACTTAAAGCAGGGTGAGGGGAGGTCATTCCCAGGGTGGGGGGAAGAACAGCTTGGGAGGAACCTGGCAGAACAACCTGCGGTGCTGGTAAACTGACGGACACCCTTAACGTTTGTTTCTCTTTCTTTCACAAGCTATTCTAGGTACATTCGGGTGAAACCCAGCACTTGGGGAATCCGGACTTTTACGTCTGGCTTGGACCTGGAGGAAGGAAGGGAAGAGATGGAAAGGAGGGGGGAGAGGGAGGGGGTGGGTTTGCTTATTGCATAATTATATTCATTAACCATTTACTAATCTGCTCCCGCGCCCTCCCAACTTTTAAAGAAAAAAAAGACCCATTTTTATTTAGCACAGTGTATGGCTCGAGGTTGGAGTGCACAACTTGTAGTTTTTAATCTTCACTGCACTCTTGCAGTGGGTTTAGTTATTTGGTTACCAGGCCAGTGTGATATTCTGGCTGGTTGGAAAACCAAGGACTGTTTTTTTTTCTTGGGACTGAAACTTGATTAAGCTTGTAGTGTGTGTGTGTGAGTGTGTGTGTGTACGTAGGGGTCCGATTCACAGTATTTCCTGGCGGGATTCCTTTAGGAGGAATCCTGTCCAAGTTCCCACAGATGAACGTAAAGGGACCTCCCTGCAGTTGCTTTTCCGAAGAACTGTGGAGTTTTTTCCCCATTATCCTGCCTTAGATTCTCCCTTCATTCCCCCTCCCCCCAACCACCCGCTCCCTCCTAATCCAAATGTATACGACCCCTTGTCTCGTTTATTGAGGTGTGTCACGGGTGCAGATTAGCTGCTGCCTTCGCCTCGGTAACAAAGCTCATAAAAATGTTGGTGAAAATGCTCTCCAAGGCGTTTGCATCAAGTGGGAATATTTTACGCGAAAGATGCATTATAAACACACGCGCCTTTTGAATGAAATATTTCTCATCGCATCAGTGCCATGTTTCTGGGCGTGAATGAGGTTGTCACCGTAAGGATTCCCTCGTTTCACCACCACCCCACCCTCCTCTCGTCCCACCCTTCTTAAGAAACCCAGTTAAGAAGCACCAGAAATTAGACCCCAATATAAAATGTATATCTGTATATGCACACAGACACTCACACGGACACACCCGCACACATGGACACACACACGCACACACATACGTGATGATGTTTTTAAAGTGTTATAAGCACTGGATATAAATGGTATTTTTATCACTTCTGACTAATGTGAAACTGTTGTAGGAGAAACTACATGAACAAAAAAAAAGTCGCCTGTTTTGACTCGTGTGGGCTTGTCTCACAGTTGCCAGATTTGAGTCATTTTATGTCTAGTAATTTTGTTTATTTATGCAAAAAAAAAGTTTGTGTATGAATACTTTGTTTTAGCTCCATTTCCCTCCTCCCACACCTCTTCACCACAACCTGCCCCCTTCTCTTTCCAACTCCCCCCACCACACATACACACAAAGTCTTCTAACCTAACCAGGTGCTCTCTCTGCAAGTTTCATTCTCCCCAGACGTCAAAACCCATAAATTGGCAATGACTTTTTTAAAATCAAGATAATTTTCTTTGTAGTTGCAGTTTCGTACACGCTGACACATACACACACTGAGTCATAAACATATACTGAGGCACGCAAACACTGACACACGGGCACACACACACACCGACACTAAAACACACACTGAGGTGCACATACACAAATTGAGACACAATTACACACACAGACAAAGACTACACACAAACAGACACTGATACGCACACAATAACAACACCAACAACAAAATTATATTTGTATAGCGCCTTTCACGTCGGGAGGACGTCCCAAGGTGCTGGACACACACGCAAGCACAAATACTGAGACACAAACACCCCCATTGACCTTTACACAACCCACCCACTGACACTCACATACTCGCCCCACACAGTCACTACACACACGCTCGCGCGCACACAATTCAAAAAAGACAAGCAAAATTTTCACGTAATATTTATTTTAGCCCTATCAGGCTCTAAAATGTCACCGCAGAAAATCTTGTAAAGTTAAGACAATCAAAATTTGGAATACGACTTCGACTTAAATTGGAGCTTTTTAAAACAAAGTTGCAAAAGGAGAGAGAAAAAAAGAAATCCACCATCTCATTTTAGATTTTTTTTTAAAAATTGTAAATATAACATAGGAAATAGAATTCTATTTTTGTTCATGAATGCATAGTGAGATATAAGTTATGTATTTACTGTTTTTTTTGTTTGTACATCATTGTATGTTGGTCCACATTTTCTAATGCTAAAAAGTCACTGTACCTCATTTAGAAGCTGAACTCACACCCACAATGATATATAGCAGTATTGGACCCTGTAGTCGAGGTGTCAAGGTCACCTTGTGTTGTGGTCAGTTTCTCAATCTTTTGTGTTGTGATGGTTAATATTAATGATAGCGTCACAGTTCGTGATGTGCAGAGTTAGTTGGAAAAAAAAGATTAATTTTATTTTGAGGGGTGGGAGGCAGGGAGGGAGGGAGGAGGAGGGGAGGGAAATAACACC